CGACCGAGGCCACGAAACTCAACGCCGACAACAAGTCCGCCATCGAATTGTCCAAAGACAATGTTCTGCACGCACGCACCAAGCACATCGATATCCGCCATCACTTCATTCGCGAATGCATCGCCGCCGAGACCATACGACTCGAATACTGCCCCACTGACGTCAATTCGGCCGACTTGTTCACCAAGGCCCTCGCACGCGATCGTTTTCAATTTCTTCGGACGCAACTCGGTATCCTCCCAGTACAGAGTTGAGGGGGAGTGTTGGAATATTGCGGGCACGCTGTCTTTGTACCCTTTGTCACGCGCTTGACAGGCTGTCAAGCGCCTTCTCTATTATGCGGATCCTCTACTCTACGCTTTGCTAGTCTACATCATGTATATAAGCTACGGCTTCTTTTCCCTCGATCAATCATCCTTCCCTGCTTCTCAGCTTCTCTCTCTCGTGTGAACTCTAACATAGTGCTGCCTGTTGAGGCCGACGCGTTCACCGTCATGTTCGAGGAGTCGTTCTGGTCAGTGTTCCCCACGTACGGCCCTTTCAACATCATCGTACCCCCCCTGTACCGGATCCTACGCCCTGCGAGCCAACCATACTTCCGGAGGACTCGGGAGGAGCGGCTGGGAAAGTTCGAGGAGCTTGCGCCGCCTGGGAGCACGAAGCGGACGGAGAAGTGGGAGGAGACCAGGCAGGGTCTACACCGGATCGCAACATGGCTGGGGGCGGCCCCCGACTCCAGCGGCGAGGAGAAGCTGTTCTTCATGGGCAGCAAGGTCGGAATCACATTTGCGGACATCCGACTAGCGAGTTTCTTCATATGGTTCAAAACGTGTCTCGGGGAAGACAGCGAAGAGTGGAAGAATATGATAGCCTGGGATGGAGGGCGGTGGGCGAGGTTCACAGCGGCTTTCGAGGAATTCGAGGTCGTCGATGACGGCGAAGATCTGGAGTCGGCAAGGGCTCACCTGAATGTGACCGCAATGGGTCGTAAATGATAGACTACTAGCTGCTTTGGTAAATTCCCCCAGATGTACGCATTCCTGGACAGGACAGTCGATATAAATTGCACTGACAATTTGATGTCGAGGTCGGGAGAAAGAGCATTGTGGCCCTCCCGAACGAAGACGTTGACTGGCTTCATGCTTTCAACTTTCCTCTGATAGATAATCTCGAGAGCTCCTTGTGTTCTCCAACGTTCCCATGCATTGACATAAGAACATCCATAGATTACCGATGCAGTAGTATGAGAAGGTCAACGACGTAACGCATTTCTTTATGTCTAAGGGCCTGCTTCTCTAGACGGCATATATCGATCATACGTCACCAGGCGACTCTCCACCTAAGCCGCATATGCTTAGTACAATCATCACATCGACCAGAAGCACCTTTCACGAAGCCCCAAGTCTCCTGTCCCTCCTCCTCCTCCTCCTCTCCAGGGTCGGAGTCATCGTCGGAAAAATAGAACTCCTCCTTTCCGAACCTGATCTGATCTTGTTCAAATGCGGACGCGACCCGAGGAAACACACGTCGGACGAGTTCCGACATCTGCCCCGCCAGGTCCGCCCTTCCATAGGGGAACAGCACCTTCTCGATGACGAGCGTTTGTAGGTCATGAGTCTCGCTGGGGAACTCGACAGCTCCAAGAGACTCCTCCGCTATCTCCATCGCAGGGAGATGTAGAACACGGAGCCGGGGGCACTTGCCGGCGAAATGCGCGATGCCCTCCAGCCGACCGCCGTACGGACGTTCTGGGCGCGGAGTATAGGCTCTGCTCCAACCTTGATATACCCAGATGACAAGGTGGAGCTCGACGAGGTCAGGCCACGCATCTGCCATCAAGGAGAGGTCGGATTCGGTCCCCACCAGGTAGTCTGGGAGCCTGGTCGTGAGATATCGGAGGGAACGGAGGGAAAGCAAAGGGCGCATAGTGTCCAGAAGAGTTCCATCGAAGGTACCCTCCACCTCCGGAATATCAGGCTCGACGCAGCCGTCTTGGTACTGAGGGGTATGTATTGTGTATATCGACAGATAGGTGATGGACTTGTAGCGGGAGATGGCGTGGAAACACTGTATGGCATCCATGGCGAGCTTGGAAGCGTTATCTTCACCTTCCCAACCTGTTACCGAGAGCGTGTGTAGCGACGGAAGATGCGCGCTGTTGAGCAGCGTAGTAAGGTTCGGCCACGAACCTTCCATCACCAGTGTCCCCAAAACTGGAAGGGTGAGGTTCGGAGAAGGAACGGCAAAGGATACCGAGATGGAGAGGCACCGCAATGTAGGAAACCCAGCCAGCATCCGGAGGTCTTCAACGCCACACTCGGGCTGCACGTCCATGTGGCGAATCTGGGGGAAGTATGTCCGTATCATGGATGGATCAAGGCGTGAAGGGGGCAACGGAAGGCGGAGTTTGCCAACAGAAGGGGGAATGAGAGCAAAGATTCCGGGTGTCAGAGCTCGCCTGGGTCCGATCTCGCAGAATGTGACAGTATCGAGCATCGGCAGAATCGTGATACCGCCTGTTGCATGCTGTAACTCATCCCAGAGCCTTGACCATTTGGGACCGTCAAAGATGAAGAGCGCAACGGCACGAACGCGGGATGCATACTGAACGAAGCGAGCCCAGTGGACGTGTGTTCGGGGGTCACCAGGGGTGGAGATGGACTAGACAAGTGCGAGTGAGTATATGACATCGTTTGCTGCCCCGCAAATACGCACATAATCGACATCATATCTTCTTGCCCGTTTCCAACGGCGCTCATATGAGTCTATAGCATCGAAATCCGGGTATCCTCCAACATCGTCTGTGGGCAGCAGATATCGTTGGGGCTTGTCATCGTCATGGCGTGACTGAGAGTCCAAGTCTCGTTCTCTCGTCGCGATCCCAAGAGTACAAAGGAGATCGGCAAGAGGCTGGTCATCAGGAAGGCTGCTCCAAAGCATCTTCAGAGCTGGATTAGTGAAGGCCCGACAAGTCCTCGCGGCCATCGCCAGGGATCGACGAGAATCGTAGAGTGCGGCAGATCTGTTATCGTCGTACCAGACGGCGTGCACGTCGAAGTGGGAAAATACATTATAGAGGATGTCCGGGACGTCGGTCAGCGAGCGACGCGTGGCAGTGGTCATGGCGGGATCGAAGACAGATTCGAGCCTAGGAATGTATACGGTCTATGTTACCTTATAGCTGGAGGTTGGGCTCCGACTTGCGAGCGTCTGATTGTACATGACAGGGCCGCAGTTCAGTAGATCACAGTGAGAAAGACAAAGTCGCGAAGTCACAATTCAATCGCCATGTCAACGCCCATCAATTCCGGGTCAGCATACTGGAGGGCATACGGTTAGTACCGCGACCGGAGGTCTGCAAGAGGGCTCGATCACAGCCAAGTGGGGATTGACATTTCGTTGTGATGCTAGAATTTGGATTTTGAGCGACTCGATAGACATCATCGACTCAGAATGGATACGAATTTCACCACCCGACCACAACGAACCGATGTTCTCCACCAGCCAGGTCCCTAATCCAATACCTCCCCGACTCGTCCGCGCGCACGACATCGCCCCCGCCATCTGCGCTGCTAAGCGTCGCTGTCGTGTAGTTACCTGGAAGAGGTACACCGACGGTGCCCGTCGTCCCCTGAGGCGTGCTGATTTCAATACGGAAGACCGTTCCGTTGGCGAGCCACTTCGAAGAGAATCGACCGAGAGTGGTCGAGAACCCGGCATCGACGTGCGTCAAGTCGCCCACCTGAGGCACGATCGCCCACGTAGCTCCCGCCGCGCCCACAAGCTGGATGCCACCGACATACGTCTGCACGAAATCCATCGTTCTTCTGTAACGCAATCAGGCAAAAGCTCGATCGCTGACCGTAAGCGAGCTCGTAGGCCCCGTTCCCCACCCATGAGCGAGCGAGATCCGAGCATCCTCATCCCCGTACGGCGCATAATGCGGCTCTCTGCTCGTAGAGTACCCCTCGATGAACGTGCTGTTCGTCATCCGCGGGTCGTCAAGCATGAAGTCCGCCCACATATTCCGAATGAGGGTGAGCGCCGCCGTCGTCCGGTTCGCCGCAAAGTGCGTCTCCAATTCGAACCCAGAGATGAAGGGGGACACCGCGTCCGCCACCCCCGGTGCAGGCGCCCCATACTGTCCCTACCGCACCTGCGACGTGTTCGTGCCGAGTCCTGACTTCACTGCCCACGCGTTCCCGTCCTGCGGCTCGAGCGTCGTCGTCTCGTTGTCCCTGAACAACCCCACATCTGGCTGCCACAGCAGCGCGATCGCCGCGGCCTGGATCCCCGTCGCGAGCTGTGCCCAGCGATCCGCCGTTGCAGAGTCGTTTTGATTCTGGGCGAGGGCGACGCCAAGATTGAGGGTGTAGAAGAGGATAGAATTCGCTTCGATGGTACGTGTATTGAGTTACTTCTTGCTACTTCCGAAGCGGGGAGCGCATGCTATCTGCGGGTCCGCGCGAAGTCCCGGTGTAGGTCATGGGCCGTCAGAAAAGACTATGTTGCGTCATGACCATATGCCTGCTCCAAATTCCTGCGTAGCATTGATCAGACGCGTTCATCATATGATACATAGGGCAGATGGTTGCACGACAGTCCCGCGCAAGGTTGTCGGGTATGTACAGTACCTCCATGCCATCGTCGGCCTTTAGACACCCGTCTGCGCTGCAGTTACGCGGAGGAGCACAGACCCCCGACATGCTTTATGGCGTAACGGCTTCGGCTGGCGCGTTCGAGCTACGTTATATAAGCCCTTCCGGTTGTCCGGACAGGCAATCATTGGCTGGCTTTGCGCGTCGCGCTGTGAGTGTCCGGCCTCGTTATGGCTTTGAGAAGCATAACTCTGCCACCGAGACGTCCGCATTAACACCAGAGGTCAGCTGTTCGGATTTTCGCGAGAATGAAATACAGCATCAATGGTCGTGCGTGATAAAGGGAAGCGCATGTAGGGTGTGCAAGTCGCGAACCCGGACTGTATGTTATGGCTTGCGCATGACCCGAAAGCGACAATCCGTACCGTGTACAGCTTCCTAACATTCGCACTGTCCCGACACGCTCTCTCCAACATATTGACAGGCATATGTATGCTCACCTCGATGTGTTGCTGGCCCTGTTGCCCTGCTGTCGGCATCACTACAAGGAGATGCTTGTATGCGCCTTCCGCAGGTGTGGCAGTCTATCACGGAGGATCCTGCAGGGTTTCTCCTACGCTGTTCATGTAGTTGCGTGAATTATAGCGCGTCAGGGGGTTATCCATTGAGGGAGAGCGGTAGTGGCAGATGGAGAGGAGAGAACGTTGCAAGCGCCGGTGAGCGACCAGCCGCGATAATTCGTACCGGTCGCCTCGTCCGCTGCTCACTTTCACGTCTTCCCAGTGAAGTCGCTTTGCACGTCTCTCGCTCTGCACGTCCTGTCCCCTCGCCATTCGCCCTCGTCTCAGCCGCCGCTGCACCATCCCGTTCCAAGCGCGCACCCAGTCCGCTCTCTCCTCCGCAAGTCAACATCGCCTGAACAAGGACGTCGGAATGCATACAGTCGGTCTGTCTCGGGTGGTCCCGTCATCGCCAGGTGAGTAGCGATCACGATCAGTTAACGATCCACACGTCTTCCCGATCCTCCTTACTGGCTCCTTGTGTACACGCACTCATGGATGGAGCACCGCTAACGTTTAGGCTATGGGCTCACCGGTCTCCCTCACATGCAGGTTCAAGTCGATAGGTGTGGCATATATCCACAACCCGGAGCAACCCTTTTGCTTTCCACCTCCTTGCTCGAAGGAAGCCCTCTTAGTAGAGTGAACATAGGTACGACGTCGTTTTCTAGTGATATTTATGCTCGTGCTGATTAAGTTCCTACCGCGCGCGACATAGCATAATGAAGTCCTCATCGAGCAGGTCTTCCCACTACCGGACACCCACTCTTCCACCGAGCAACGGCCCTAGCGACATTTTGGCGGCATCTGGTACATCTGCACACCCGTCTTCCCCAATTACGCCGTTACGCTATGGATTTCAGCAAGACGTGGTTGCGGATACCGTGCTTGATTGGTGTCGAGATATGGGCGGAGAGGGGGAGATGTTCATGTTGCACTCTGCGGGTGCGTTCTCAGCTTCAGCTGCTAGCGGACAGGGCGTTTCTGCGCCCTACGCCGAGGATAGGCTCACGATTGCTACCTTGACGGCGGAGCGTGCTTGCTATACGACACCGTCCCCTCAGACGACTTGGCGCTGGTGTTGTACTAGCATGTGCCGGAACGGCTTTTCCTCCCGACGTTCATCCCCTCCACTGTTTCTCCCTACCTTCAGGAGAGCACATTGGAATGCTCATCGAGAAACTTCCTCTTACGGTCTGACGTGGCGCATGATTCGCATCTCTTGTTTCCCGAAACCTCTCCACTCTTAGGCTCCCCATCTTCATCTATGTCCACACCACGCGAAGTCTTGCCCGCCCTGCCTACATTCAAGTCGAAGCATATGTTCATTCAGACGTCTGCTTACTGCACAAGTGCAAGCTCGTCTCATATTGCCGCCGTCATGGAACACCACTAGCACTAGGTCGCGGACGGCGTTAGGTTCTCCCAGTGTCTGTGGCGTGAGTTCCGAGTACCGGCTGAACACAGAGACGAGCGGTGCTTGGAGAACCATGGTGTCCCTCCTGCACAACTGTAATCGATACATCAGTCCGAAGGCTGTCTCGCTTTCGGAGGACAAGAAGAACAACGGGTCTACCTTCCGGGCTGCTGTCGCCAAGGGCATGATCAACGGTTAGTCCGACCCAGTAGACGCGCAGTCGCTGCCTCCTGGGGCACCAATCGTCTCGCCTGACAATCACGCTGTGGACAAAACTGCCCTCAATGAAAATCTCGTCCATGCAGGCAAACTAGTTCCGAACCCTGCCCTTCCCCCAACGAGTATCATATGCCTGTTCTTGCGTCCGGGAAATAATCGCCGCAGATATGGTCTATCCGAGCTAGCTAATGTTCTAGGACGAAAGCACTCCATAGTGGGCACCGCGGTTGCTGTACGCGATTCACCCGAAGACGGTCTCCCTGACCTCTGGCTCACGGTAGAACGTTGAATCGATTTCCTGCCCTGTTTTGTTCGGTTTCACGCTGTTTTGCTTATGCTTACCATCGCAAGTGTATTATGTAATACTCCAGAGAGTGTCGCTGGTTGCAATATTGTACGAAGAGCTCCTTGAAGGCAGAACAGACTGATCTGCTGAAAACCTTGGTAAAAAAGTGTCTCCATGCCTCGCTTCAACTAGCCAGCGACGAGGATGAAGCCAACGAACAGGATATGACTGAATAGCGCCTGTCAGTGATCGCTGCAAATACGAACGAAATCTCGTCCCGTTCGACATGGTAACACGATTCATATAGCCCTGAATTCACTCAGGAATCAAGCGCGAATAGATACAATCCCTACATCAACGAGCAGACGGTACGCGATGCATCTCACTTCTGCCCAGATATCACAGTCCTTGTCGCATTCCTAAACTCCACCAGTCGTTGAGCCAGACTACTGCCTCGATGCCTGAGTTGGCTCGTCAGCGCTCTCCCCATCGTCACCATCACCATGGTCCTCGTTGAGGTAATCTGCAGGGGCAATTGATGCTCCGAGTGATCCAACTACCCGTTCGAATACCAGAGAACGATCGAAGTGCAGCGACGAGATCTGTGAGGACGGTATGGAGCCGACCGCCCGAAGGCTAGCTGACTGTAGGTGGAGGAGGAAGCGTGACACGAGGATGGCAGATAGCCTGGGTGGTTGAACGTGCATGCGAAGAGTCAGGAGACATAGGATCGAGTGACACGTACATAGGCGCACGTACGGAAATGTGAAGGTTGTCATTACGCTTGTAGGTTCAAGTGCGTCTGTATTGATCTTGAAAACACATGGTCGAAAGTTGTGCTGGTTCAGTTATAGAGTGTGAACTCACCGAAAGCAACGTGAAAGCAAGATGCAGGGAATTGAGCACAGCGAGGATGCTACATGAGAAAGGAGTGAGATGCGACATGCTGCAAAACCACCCCACTCACAGGAAATAGATTGTCCCTGGGTGAACAATATAGTTAGCATGTTACGCCTCAGTCAACACTAGTACTACTCAGCACGCACCATCCATCAGCAAGACTCTAGCTATCGAGCCCTTAAGCACGCCTCCGCGGTAAGCTGGATACTGCAGACCTAACATGAACCATGTGAAACCTATGGCGAGGCAATCTGCTGCAATGACGCATGACCGAGAAATGATAGTAACTAAAGAAGCTGGTAAGATTGAGCGTTCATGTAGACTTGGATTGCACTTTACATCTATGATAGGTAGGTTGGGCTTCAGTGGAGTCTCAATCGACGCTCTCAGGGAGCCTTACATTTGTGCGAGACTAGTGGACACATTGTCAAATCCTGTGCATCCAAGGGGAAATATATTCTGGCCGGTCAGTCCGAGCCTGAAGATCGCCTGTTAATGAATCAGTATCCACAGGAAAGCAATGAACATGCCGCGATCCAATCTCACAAAGTTAGTTCCGAGAGGCGCTAAGGATAGGCCAGCAGTGATAGCACACAGAGTTAAGCTCCTCCTGAGTGCATAGACACGGATGGCTGTGAACGCTGGGAAATCAAAATATCGAGATTTGCTCGAAGATATCAGTGGATACGAGGTGCTCACCTGCGGGGACTATAAACGTCAAGTATTCAATGGCATCACTACCCCTGACAGATAGGGCACAGCTGCATGGACACGATTGATTGCAGTGCTCTGTAGGGACTCCATTGAATTGCTTTACCTCTGGTGAAGTCAAGATATATGTGGATTCATTCGATCCTAGCAAGGGCGGAGGACAGACCTTATCGGATAGATTGAAAAATGTTGCAAGGTCCGAAACGAGATAGAGCGCGGTCATGTACTTGTTCAGCCAGAACAAGATGGCTGCCCCTGTTATCTTCCGTCCCCAGAAACACCGGATTTCTTCACCAGTCATGATAATCGAGTCGTATAAAAACACCACTGCCAAACAGATCGGTGAATGGATTAGCATTGATTCTCAAGGGCATTCGAATGGTATGCTCCCGCTCAGTAGGGACTGTACCTGTTGCTGCGAGACCGCAGTAGTTGTCTGTCATGCTATGCGGTCAGGCGATCCATCGTCAGCGCCCGCAGTATCGGGTTCAGTCAGAGGACAGGTCACATACACGCTAGAATACTCAGCGGCAAGCTGTGCTGTCTGTGAGGAAGCCATGGTTGGAATGGAGAGTCAGAGTGGCGACGCGAGCTCTGTGGGTTGTCTCTTCTTATATTGAGGAGAAGTAATGTGCATTTCTGGTCGCCTCGAGGACACGCCGTCCACCGCGACACAGACGACACTATTATTGAATGCTTTGCACTGTGGTTCCATCTCTCGATCGTCTGGTATCGAAGAAGCTGGCGGGCACCATGAGTGATAGCTCGGCGTGGAAGCAACGTCGTGTATGGACATCCCTTAGACCCTTCCGGAAAGCTTAAAGCATTGGACAGCACTTGACAGCACCGGTCTAGCCCTTCACATCGTGATCATACTGTACGGAGATGGACATTTTGAGCCACATCAACGCAGGTCCGCGGGGTGTTTCCGGGGAAGTTGAACTGGGACAGAATAGGACTAAGTAGACAAAAGATGGGCTAATGTCAACGTGGGTCAATGTTAGTAAGAAAGACCTCGAGCTCACCAGCGGTAGAGTTGCTCAACGGGAAGGGGTGTGCCATACACGATCATTGCTAGAGCTGCGATCGAGGAATGACGGCAAGTACGTATACATACGGGTGTTGAGGAACTGCTGAGACGCGGCCCTTGTTCCTGAGAGTTTCGAAGATTTGAGGTGAAACAATGTATCAATAACACGGACAAACAAACGAATACAGAGTCAGGAAGCACAGGTACATTATCATACACGTGTGATAGGGTAGAGCACTAGTAACCAAGCGTACAGGTAAAGCAGCGGCGAGACAGCCGGGTACGCCTGCGAATCACACTGAGGAGAATAAGTGCCGAGGAAACCGCACTAACAAGCGCGCACAAGCAGAGGCGGTGGCACAGAGAAGCGACGCCACAATGTTCGATGGAAGATACAAGCGACGACGGCATGGAAGGTTCAGTCGTTCTCCATCGCCTCCTTCTCGTATTTTTTTGTTCACCACGCTCAGTTCACGCGAGATCTGTCCCGAGGACAGCGGCAATGATCTCGGGTACGTGATGGAGTCAATATCGCTCTGACGACAACCGAGATACGATGCATGCCTTCTGAAACAGGTTCTTCCGCACACCCTCGTCACTGACGATCTGGTTCGAGGCCTCAAGTGCGCTACACGCGCCGATGATCAGCAGCCTTCACGCGATGCTCTCCGTCTAAGAACGAACCACTCATTTCTTCTCGCTCTGTATCTGACAACACTTGTTGCTCAGACACACCAACTGCCAGATGATCGTCTTCATTTGGTCTGTCAGCCTGTACCACTTCGCCGGAGGATGTGTGTCCTGGCCCCTCCCACTGCTACCCACGCCATCCTCGCGCTCGCCATCGTCCCCTGCCGCGGCAATAGCTTAGTCAAGAGGCGTGTGGGGCATCATGGGCGTCGCCTGCCCGTTGCTGTGAGTGATCGACACCGTTGAAGCCTTCGCTGCAGACGGCGACTTCGCACGTTCGGGGCGCCTTACTGCAAGAAAGAAGATCGGAAAAAGAAGGTGCGCGTGTGACGGGAGTGCGGAAGAGGCGTGCGTACGAGACCATGCAGCTTCTCGATGAGCGCATCTTGCCTGTCAAAAAGCACATGGTCTTGCCGCTTGATGACCTTATGTGGCGAAGTGAGTATATACCCTTCCAAATACATGCGCACGAGGCAACGCACCATCATCGTGACCAACAGCCTCAGCCTCAGCCTGGAGAGGTTCGTGTCGTATTCCTCGAGGATGACCACCTTGAGCGCGACTTACGCGAGAATGAGCTTCAGCCCGGGCGAGGACTTCCCCCTTACTTCCTAGTTCTCTTTCGCAGTCGCCTCCTCGAGCACCTCGATCGCCTTGCTCCAGCACCGGGTAGAACGGGTGCCGCGAGTCATGTTCCGGCATTAGCACAGGTGCAGGCACGAACACGGACATAGGCGGGCAACGACAGGGGAAGGGACAACAGACGTCGGCGATGCGCTCTCGACACGGTCACAGCACGCAACAGTCACTCTGCCCACCCTCGGACAGCTTCATCTCTAACGACCCGCCTTCCTCCCCGTCTCATAGAGCTACCTGCTGGTCTTGCGAACTTGACCTCCCATCTGATATGAAGAGTGCGGGCAGAGGGGTGGCGGTGGAGAGAGCGACGGAGAACGGTGGTGGAGGGCGCAAGGATAATGATCTTCTCATCTTGTTCAGTGGTCTAGAGACGGATGTGTGGATGAGTAAGAATGGTTGAAAATGTGGGAGATAGCAACCAAAGGGTTGGTCTGACTTGAACGGGGAGAGCGAGGAAGGGCACCAGCGTCATGCACGACTCACACGATGTCCACACTTGTACAGGAACTGCCTCGGCATGAGGTCGGAGGTTTGCCGTTGTCTTTGAGGATGGCTCCCTGCAGCGCGTACTGGGCGAGGAGCGGCTTCAAGGCTGGATGAACCTTGTCCTTCATTTCGCAGTTCTCCTCTTCCGAACCCTTTTCAGCGATTCGATCGCCTGCGTGACCTTTGGGTCGAAGCGATGCAACAAGTGGTACTCCGAGACCGGCACATGAGAGGTAGCTTGCGTAGGCATGGGCATAGATACGGGAATCACGACAGGGGAAGACATAGTGGGCAGGCACACTCACCGCATAACGACACCACCAAGGACTCGCGCACTGAACCGTCCGCCTCTTCCTACGTTTCCTCCGGTCGCCCTCAGAGAGATCGTAACCATCCGGCGATTCTGACAGCTGACGGTCCTGTCCTCACTATCGGATGGGGCTATCGGTCTCGCGACCTCGCTTCTAGGCGAGGGGCCGCAGGAAGCCGCAGCGGCGGAGAGCACGGTAGAGAGCGTGGCGGATATGGAGACAACTTGCGCGCGGTCGACGCGTATCAATGCATTGATCGTCTTGACACGCATATATGCGGTATGTTGAGGGCAAGACTATCTGAAATTGATGATTTTGATAACAGGGAGAGTGTAAGCAACTGAGGCAATTGGTACATGAGCCACAAGTGACGAGATTCGGAGAGGGGGCACCGGTCTGGTTGGGTGCATCTTCCTGCGCCAAAGCCCACCCAGCCCTCTCTAAATACGCATATATCCGTACCAGGCGGCAAAAAACACTTACAGGTCAGAAGAGACTCTGGCGCACATATTCTCGGACGGCAGGAAAGGAAGAGTAGCGCGATAAACCAAGAGGGTAACTTTTCTGCTCCGTAAACAGAAGCCGGGACTCGTCCTGCATGAGTCAAGTATAGTCAATGCACGTGCCGCTCGTGTCATAGTATCGGGACACAAGAGTCCGCTGACGAGATATACACACATGCATCGGACTAGACTATTTCAGCCTTCCAAAGACGCCGACGTTCATGGTTGTTGCGCATTGCATACTTGGGGGTGGGGGATGGGGCATATCAGTCACATACATCATCGTGGCGGACCATATCGTACGGCGTGCGCATGGTGCACGTCGGTCCCGCTTTACTGCGACGTGCACAGCTTCGCGACAGACGTTCACAGGTAGGACACCGTGCACGCTCAACATGCGGAAAGAAGATGCGCTCACCATCATGTGTCATTTCGTCTCGTCTCTATGCCAGCTGTACGGGGCACATGCTTGCCTTCGTGTCTGATCTCGCCGCGCGCCCCGTGGTGAGCGATGTTCCACTCCTGCGTAGCGAGACTAGATCAGACTGGGGGGCGGCCGAGGTGGTGAGTTGCGGTCATTGGCTGCCAGTGCTACTATAGAGCAGAGCTTGTACGTCAGCCCTATAAGCATGTGTAAAGGATGGCTTTAGCGTACCCGCTCGAGTATCCGCAGGCCATATGTCCTGCCATGCTCGGACTTGCCGGAGCCTTCAGTCTTGCAACTCACAGATGGTGGTGTGTTGAGGGCCAAGGCGTCTCGAGTCGCACTTGCCGGCACGGGGACACGGGCCGTATTACCACGCCCATATCCGCCTGGCGCCAGCTTGCTTGGCAGACGAGACCTTGGGCAGGACTACTACATCGTCCGATCTGCTCTCCCTCTCCCCGTGCTCGTCTCTCCTGCTCTGGGTCCACCCCAATATGTGCCTGTCAGCTATATGAGAGTGTCACTTCACCGTCATGCACGAGGCCTCGCCGCGCCGTCCTGCAATTGCGGCTCCCGGTCGCGCAAATCGACGTCGTCCAAAGAAGGTCGTGGGATGACATGCCATAGGTCTGCCTATGGACGCTCTATCATCTCCAAGTGAATAGTGATGCGCGATAGGCGAGGTCACATCCCCTTCCAGCTCTCTCTTCCTGCCTTCTTGTGTCGCTCGCATGCACCAATATGACACGACTTCCGGTCAGGCTATGCTCTCACCGGTCTCCCTCTCATACAGGTTCAAAGTGACAGGCGCAACGGACACCTGCAGCGCGAAGCAACGTTTCCACGTCTGGCCGCGCCGCTCGAAGCAACTTTCTTATAGACCAAGCCCATTACTCCTCGCCGCCGACCACGACATCTACCATTTAGTAGTACTCACCGATCAGGGCCTCTCCTTTCCGCACACTCACGCCGCCACGATCAACAACCATAGCGACGTTCCTAGCGGCATCTAGTGCGTTAGCACACCCGTCGCCTTGACGTAACCTGTTAAGCTCTGGATGAGGTGCTTGGACGTTCATGTTGCACTTTGCGGGTACGTGTTCAGCTCCACGGTCAAATTTTATAGGGCGTTTTGGTCCTCATGCAGACGGTAGGCTCACGAATCAGAGCAGTTTTAACCCCCCGACGTTGACTTCTTCGGCTGTCTCTTTGTCCCTCCAGCAGGACTCACAGGACTCGTCGCGCTCACCTGGCTGTCGGAATCTGATACAGCGCACGGTCCGCATCTCGTCTGAAACCCCCCCACTCGTGTTATGCGCGGCTATGGTCCATCACATCGAATCTCGATCTCCGGATCCTGAGCAGTAGCTGGTCATTCAGAGAAGACGCGACTGGGTTGGTCACCTCGTCCCCGTCGTTCGTGGTACGAAGCTCCTCCTACCTAGCTCCAGTCGATGCACTGATTTCAAAGGGCCAGAAAAACATCGGGTGTAGCTCGCCTTGTCCCTGAGCGCGACCCGTCCTCGCTGCCTCCTAGGTCTCCGACCTTCCCGCTTGTCGGCTCTGGCTAGCACAAAACGGCCCCTAACCCCGTCCATGGGGACGGAAAGACGCTGGACGGGACGATGCGGGTCTCTCGGGCTTGCTACATCTTGCGCTCTGGGCAAACTCTGCGGCCGCATTCAACCCAGGTCAGTGAGCGTAGTTCCAGAACAACATCATGCTCGCACACTACGCAGTGGTCGTCATAGAGGACCGCGAACCTTCACCATCCTATACTCGTCGCCTTCATTGCTCCAAGATGTCTTATCCCCTCTTCTTTGCGTACCCCCAATTGAACTTGATCATCGTTTCGCTGTCCGCTGCATTGCTTGATTCCCCTACATTTTGTATGTTGTCTGTCCCGGTCGGCTGTACAAATACATACCCTCATGTCCTTGCTGCTTCCTTCTATTTGTCATACGGCCAATCTCATGCATGTGTCGCACCGCGAGGAGAGTCGTATGCAAACCAGGACCCTGTCGATTTCTCGCTGCCCTGCCAGTCGGGTACGTCAGGAGTTTTGTGGGACAACGGCATGTCTCTGGCTGGGGATCACTTCATTTCAAGTAATACTTCATAATCAACCAGATATGAAGCTTTTCAATTGCGAGGTAGTATACAAATTACCAGTCACCAGTGAAACTGGTCGTACATATGTGTCAGGTTACTGATGCCTTGATCGCCCCTGAACTTGAACTCAAATGGCTCTCTAGTGGAACTGTTACTCCTTCGACGTCTCATTCAGCTCGATCTCTTCCGTTTTTCCGTGCTCGTCTTCACCGGTGTTCCAGTGATTGTCCTGCACAAGGTAGTCACTGGGCGCAATGGAAGCCCCGAGTGACCCAACAACCCGCTCGAAGATTACAGAGCCTCCATCGAGGTTCGTCAAGGAGTCTCGGGATGAAAGTATGGAGCCAGTGTCCCCGATGCTTGCAGACTGTAGGTGCAGAAGAAAACGCGATATGAGGATGGCAGAAAAGCTAGAGTGTCGGATGTGCATGGGGTGCATTGAAAGAATTTAGTGAGAGCAATTAAATAAATAGGGAGACATACGGGATGGTGAAGTTCGTAATCACACTTGTTACTTGCAGCTCGTCAATGTCAAGCTATGACGTTTAAGATTATTATCGATCGAGTAAATGAAGTAGGACATGTGCGTACCGACAGTAATGTGAATGCCAGGTGTAGAGAATTCACGAGAACAAGGATACTAAGAAAGATAATGAGTCCTTGCACATTCTATAACGCGCTACTAACAGGAAGTAAATTGTTCCTGTGATTGACAGTCAGCTATATTGAAGGAGCGTGTGTATGTCATGTATTTCCCACCATCAATCAACAAGACACCCGATATGGTGCCTTTGAACATACTGAAACGTCTGATGGTGCTGTGATGAGCTAGTGTGTACCATGTTACAGCAACAGCGAGCACGTCTGATGCAATCATGCATGAACGGGATATGACGGTTACTGAATGGTGCGCAAATGAGTATGTGTGAGCTTAGTATTCGTGCACAACTTGCATCTAGAAGAGCAGAGTTCGCTTCAGTCAAGGCGATGCATCACAATTTCTTAGAAAGGACTGACTCTCTGGCGATATCAAATGTAGTATTGTAGAATTGGGTACACCCAAATAGCGCCACATTTCCGCCCCACAATCCGAAAGCGAAGTTGGCCTGCTATCATGATGACTGCTGTATGAGGCTAACAGTTATTGAAGAGTACTTACAAAATTGGTTGTGAGAGGCGCTAAAGCCAACATGAAGGCCATTGCGCATATAATCAAGCTCTTCTGGAGTGCATATACACGTAATGCGATGAAGGCTAGGATACCGACGCTGAATCGTGTCCACATTGATTAATGAGACAACAACGCTCACCTGCTTGAACCAGGTAAATCAGGTAGTTCACAACTGCGGTTCCTTTGGCAGAGCGGTCACAGCTGTCAAGAGAAGGGTGACTATAGAACTTGCACCAGACAAGGTAACGGGCTCTACTGACCTCTGATGAAGTTGTATGGTCATTCAGGAACAATTCACTAACAATCAAGAGGAAAGTACCTGCCTCATCCGAAATCTTGAAGTCTGTGACAAAGAGCCAAACCAGAAACATTGCGTTCATGTATTTGTTCAGCCAGAAAAGAATAGCAGCGCCGGTGACTTTACGCCCCCAGAAACAGCGAACTTCTTCTCCAGTTGTGATGGTTGCGTCATACAGAAATGCAACTGCAAAATGGTAGCCATGTGAGTGAGTGGTTGTTTGAGAGCCTTCGACTACAAGCTTGAACTAGGATACCTGTTCCAGCAACGTTGCAGCAAAGACCAACAATGCTAACACGACATGAAGGATTGAGTCACCTTTCTCCATGGCTGGGCAGAAGGGAAAACAACTGACCCGGTGGCATATTCTGCATCAATCGAGTCTGACTGTGAGGAAGCCATGGTGGTGGGCAGTTGGTTCACTACAAGCGCGAGGTTCACCGACGACAAACATTTATCAGCTTCTCAGTCCATTGATTCCTGAAACTTTATATGACAGCTGGCGCGAATTCAGAACACGTGTTGGTCATAGTGATGGAGAAGCCTTCTGGGATTGATAAGTGAAGCTCTGATGCCAGGAAAAGAGCCATAGATGAGTACATTAACCGGTCAAGAGCCGAGCAAATTCCGATTGTGCGGTCTGAGAAGATGTATTGGAAGCTAAAGTTAGACACCAGCTGTTGTGCTCCCGCCTAGAATCAGGAAACCAGAATGCGTGATCAGGGGTCGGTATGTGATATCATGAGACCGAACTGACAACACGAGACACATAATCGGCTCTTAGTAGCGCTACTGCGCGCCTCAGTGCTATGACCGGCTGGGCAAGCGTAGGGACCGGTGTAGAGCACCATTGAGATCGGGCTGGTGCTCTGCTTGTCACGTTTCTGGCACGGTGTTTGTACTGCAATAAGCCGAAGCCCCCACAGTCCGGACGAGCTCCCTATAAGTGGGCTTTCCCATACCCCAACATAGTACTCATGCCCTTCTCGATCCCTAAGTGGGTATGAGGGATGTTCACTCCGCCCAGCCTGCCGTGGGTATGCGCGTAGAAGGCGATGCAATTTTGACGAATGACGCAAACCATGACAGCATGGATAATTCAGTTGCCCGCCGTCCACTACCGTGGCAGAGGCTTGGACGAGAGGCGCGCCAAGCATCACGCGTAGTTCTTGCGTGTCGTGCCTCGGCATGAGGCTGAAGAAGCTCTCGACGTTTGATTGACATAAGAACCGCCTTTAGCGTGACCTGAGCAAGGAGCCGCTCCTCACCTCCCGGGTCTCCCTTGCGATCGCCTCATTCGAATGCAGCACCAGACGATCGCCCGTACAAGCTACGGATAGAACGGGTGCACCGATACAGGCAAACAGGGACAGGCATGGGTGTACACGCGGGGAAAGCTGTCTTCGTGCGGTTCTTCGCTCCATTCTCCGAGAAGCTCGCCATCGTCTGCATGCCCTCGGAAAGCTGCCTCTGCGATGTTCCGTTGTCCTCGCCCTCATACAAAGGTGCTTGTTTGTCTCGTGGTCCCTCCTATCTCTACCTCACCTTTCTCTTCGCCGACATTGGAGGGGTGAGAACTCGAAGTCCGAGACAGTGGCGATAGCGGAGGAATTTATGAGAATATGAAGGATGGCAATGGAGAGCGCGACGGGAAACGTGGAAGAAACGGTGTCGGATGCGAGCGCGCTTGTTTTCTTCTATCCAAAATGCTTGTTCATATATCTGGAGTAGTATCGACGAATGAGCAGGGAGATTTGTGGACGGTCGTGGAATCGCTGATGACAGTCAAGTCTGTGACGATGGCGAGCTCAGAAACTCTGCACGCTGCATAACAGAGACTTGTGCGCAGCGGATGAATATCGTAAAACATCTCATTTTGAAACGCACACATTCACTATAACGAGGGCAAGGTCATCGGGAAAAGTACAGTGAAAGTAGCTCAGGCGATGAAGATATGCCGTTGAACCACAGTAAAAGAGGATTGGACGAGAGCATCTGCACTTGCCCATCATCTCGCGTTGAACCCGGCCCAGTCCTCTCTGAACGCCCATATATGCGTACTATGCACGCAGAAAAGACTCGAACGTAGAGATATATCCTTGCAGATACATGCAAGGGCTGCATAAGACGAAGACTCACGTACTCGTTCGAGAGGGGAACCTATCTGCTCCATAAATCGGGGCCATCATACTCCTTTATCTATGGGAAGAACATATAAAGTTTAGAGTCGTCGGTGGGCGAATTGCTCGTGTCGTCAAAGCATCGGGACATCAAAGTCTGCTAATGAGATGTTCGTGTTAGCATAGAAAAGGGTTGTCTCAGTCTATGGAGCCGCACACACCGGGGAGAGGGTGCGTATTGGTCTTGTAGAACATGCGCATGGAGAACTTCGGGGCCACTTACCCGTGGCATACACCGCTTCGCGACAGACGTTCACAGTAGGACATCGTACACGCTCAAAACGTTTCAGAACGTACTCACCATCTTGTGTCACTTCCCCTTATCCTCTTGATCGAACCAGGGAGCACGGACTGGTTTTCGTGTCTGCTTTCACTGCTCGTCCCGTGATGAGTGTGTTCCGGCATCTGCGTAGCGGGGCTAGAGTTGATAGGGGCTCAGGTGGTGAGTTGCGGTCGTTGGGAAACCAGTGCTACTGTAGAGCAGAGCCCCGTACGACTGTCTAAAGCTTTCAGCCTTCCAGCTTGAGGATCGTGGCGCGATGAGAGCCGCAGTGTTCGAATTGAGCTCGCTCATTGGGCCCGCTACGGGCCGGCGTCCCGCGCCGTCTCTGCCTAGCGCCAGTTTCTGGCCTGGACATGCAACCATCCTGTCGACTCGATGCTCTCTCTTTGTTCGTGCTCGTCTTTCCAGCTCTAGCCCCACTATAACACGCATATCAGCACTATGGGGGCACTATATTGTCATGTCATCTGAGGTTTTGCTCCTGTGGTACATTCTTCGACCCCCAAACGGAAATCGGGCGATATCGTCACTCTTTCCCTATCCTCTACACTGGCCCCTACCGTTGCTCGCTCTCACCAACTGAACATACTAATCTATAGTGTATCCTCTTATTGACCTGGCTCTTAAGCTCAAGTTAATCGGCGCGCCATCTATTCACAACTCGAAGCGGCTTTCTTACGTCTTCCACCCCGCCGTTCAACAAAAGTGCTCTGAGAGCCAACCGAAGCACGACAGCCCTTTCCATTCAAGCATATCCTCGCCGATGCTGAATGCGTCTTTCCATTTTGCAAACAGTGACACCGGCTATTGTGTACTCGTCGAGCAGAGCTCCGTCTCGGGTAGATATCTGCTCGCACCATTCGTCAGCGAGAAGGGTCAGATACCGTGGGCGAATCAGGTATGTGGACGCCGCATTTTCTCCCAGCCAGTTGGTTGATAGCAAATCGCGACAAACATTCGGAGGCCGTTTTGCGGCACATGGTCGTCTATCTGGTACCGAGGTGATTCAAACCATCACCCGCGACCAGGCTGCGAATGGTTGTGTGGTAAACGCATCGGCCCCGAGGCCACGCTCTTCTTCCTTCCCAGCGATGCACATGCTGAAGAGAACCCCAAGGCGACACACGTATTCGATCACTGCGGTCACCAACCCCGTGGCAACTGAGACCGTCGACCCGACTGCGCTCGCACGCAGCAACGGTCCTGTTTGTACGGATGCGAGTAAGGGTTACCAGTGTCTTTGGGCTGTTTACACTCCAACCTGAGAGTATGCTGATAAGCATGGGTGATGTCCACAGGTACCTATAGAACACGAGCGACTCACATCTGAGCGGTGACTGAAAGCTGGTCAAACTACGTACGTTCCCTATCAGCTCTGCATGCCGATCCTAGTACAAAGTCGAGCGGCATTTGGGAACAGCCACGCGCCACATCTCTGCGGAATGCCTGGCTTCATCCGTCCCTTGGAACACCACATGTGGAATAACCCGCTCGTACAGAGTCGCATGCGGGGTCGCAGCAGCACTGGCAGCTGTGAGAGTATTATCCACAACGTCCATCCCTGGTAGACCCAAAATGCGTAGGCGTGTAAAATTGCGAGCGAAGTCGGCGAGCGAATATATCCACGCACGGGACCCTAAAGCAACGCCGAAGTCGAGACGGAGCTCCTCCCATCAAGGGCAGACTTCGTACAGGGCTTGCACATCTTCCGACGTGTATGCGAGGTCGTAGGTGGGAAAGCGCAGTGATACCATGCGGAGAACTTGAAAAGACAGAAGAGGCTTTGTGATTTATGCTAGTCGTCCTGCACGTCGCGTTACGACTGGCACAAAGTTATAGTACCGCTGGACGTCGATCGATAGTCTCAAGTGTTGCATATACTGTCGCTATGACGCGTAGGCATCGGGAAGTGTCCGTCAGAGACACGACATCCTCTGTTACCGTGATTATCGACTCAGGCCGCAGTACAATGAAGTTACATCACCCTCCACGAGCTGGTTTGTCAGAGCGCTGCAGTCCTCCGCGATGCAGAACGTCGCGCTGTCTCTGAGCACATACTAGTCAAACATTTGTTTTTTCAGTCAGCCCAGGCGTTTTCAACACATACGCCCTGGTATATATGTACTCTACACGAACGCATCTCATTTTATACTACGTAGGATCATACAGTGCAGCCAATCACCATACCTATTGGACGTCATTGAACAGTTGAACATTCATGTACGATCTACGTGTCTCTGCCACAGCGATGCCCCTCAATGCCTTCGCCTAAAGACATGACAAAGCCGAGTGAATAAAACGCGGACCGTAGCCGGTCCCTCGTGCTTCCCGGGCCTGAGGCACATACGGATAACTTGGACAACGGGCCTGCTTTTGGAGTTTCAAACGAGTTTACCAAACCCTCCTCATGCTCGGGCTTCACGACAGCAGTCTGCTCCCGTTTCAAGACACATGCCGCGTTCGGAAATGGCCCTCCCACAGGCTTCGGAATTTGCTTCGCCACGTCCTCCATGGCAGTCTGGACCATAATTTCGGCATGATAGGTCTCCGCACGCCGCCGCGAGGCTGGCTCGCAGACCTCCCTGCCGCACGGGACCCCTTTGCTATTTCCATCTCCATTCCGGGGAGACGGAGCACACGAAGCCGCGGGCACTTGCGAGCGAAGTGCGCAATTCCTTCCTGCGGGATCCCACAGGGGCGGGGATCGTACATCCTGAGGCCGTAGCTGTACCTCCGCACGTCCAGATGGAGCTCCTCGAGGTTGCGCCACGCGTCCGCCATCAACGCCCCGTCAGATGCTGTTGCTACCACACCGAAGTAACTCGGGAGTCGGATTGCAATGTAGCGAAGCGCGCGGAGGGCCAGCAAGGGACGGATGGTGTCGATAAGACGCCCGTTGAACGGGGCCACCACCTGCGGGAGGTAAGGCACGACGCAGCCCCGCGGCTCTACGGGAGTGTGCGTCGAGTTTACGCAAAGACTCGTTATAGACGGGTACCAGGTGGAAATTGCCGAAAAACACTGGATCGCACCGGTGACGAGCTCGGTAGCTGACACGTCCGCTTCGCCTTGTGCGCCCTCCCAGCCCGTCATGGAAAGCATCTGCATCGAGGGGAGACGCATTGTGTCAAGGAGAATGCACATATCTTTCCAGTGCCCCGCTATGACCAATGTGACGAGGGAGGGCAGTGTCAGGTGGAGAGGGCGCAAACCAGAGGATAATGAGATGGACAGGTGCTCAAGGGCATGAAGATCATCCAGCAGGCGGAGGTCATCGACATTGACACGAGGTGTGACTTGAAGATGGCGGAGGTAGGAGCAGTGATTCCTCAAAAGCGACGGGCCAAGGGTAGAAGGTGGTAATGCGAGACGGAGTGTCGTGATCCCGGGTCCGGCGCGGAATGCCTTCGAGAACACGCGACGCGCCTTCTCATCAGACTCGGGCCAAGAGTAGCTAGGGATTGCGAAGTCGAGCTTGCGTACCGAAGGAGAAATGAGGGCGAAGATGCCTTGAGTAATCTCGCGGGACGAGAAACAGCAGAAGGACACTGAGGATAGTCCGGGTAAGATTGGAGCGCCATCGATAGACGATCGCAGCTTTTCCCATAGCTTGGACCACCTCGGACCATCAAAAGCGAAGAGAGTGATCGCACGAACATATGATGCGTATTGTTGGAACCGAGTCCATTGAGGAAGTCGACGAGGATCCCCACCGTGCAGGAAGAACTGAGTTCGGACCGATTAGGAACAAGCCTGACGCGATATGACCAGTAGATCACTGACGTATCTGACATCGTACCCCCTCGACTGTCTCCACCGTGGCTCGTAGGTATGGTCAGGAATATACAAGCCAAATCCGCCATATTGATTCGGCAAGGGGTAACGTCTAGGATTCCCATCACTGAGACCCTGATTATCTAGGCTGCGCTCTCGAGCGGCAATCCCAAGGATGCAAAGGAGGTCTGCGAGAGGCTGGTCGTCAGGCAGGCTACTCCACAGCACTCGCAGAGCTGGGTCAGCGAATGCCCGGCAAGTCCTTGCGGCAAAGACGAGGGATCGACGAGACTCGTAAACATCGCCCGGGAGGTACTGACGCTCCAGGTCATCAGCGTCGAAGTAGGAAAAGATGCGATAGAGGATGTCTGGAGTGTGAGCTAAGGAGCACAATGTAGCAGTGACCATCCTGATGGGGGGATGAGGCAGAACGGTACACGCACAGCAAAAGTCGTTCTATGGAGCGCTGCGGCCCGAGTGTTCCGTAGGACCGCGTGGACCCAGGGCCGCA